GGTGCATTAAGACCCACTTCTCATTGGTTCGCATGGGCTAAGCCTAACCACAAAGCATAACCTATTAACTTTTTCCTCTATCTACCTCGGAACCTATTTATTGAGTAACTAGCACTAGCATAATTGGGTTTGGTACCCGACACTTTGCATTATAGTCAGCCTTTGTTCTAGCATATTATTTGCCTATAATTAGTAGCTCTCTCATGTGAAGAGGAGAAGCACAAATGCCCCAGTTAGGAGGTGTGGGAGGTTGACCTTGGTGGGTAGCAGGAGAAGTAGAGGTAGCCCAAAGAAGTATTGAGGAGAGGTGATTAGGAGGACATGGCGCAACGGAAGCTTACCGAGGACATGGCCTTTGATAGGATGGTGTGGAGATCGAGGATTAGAGTAGAAGGTTAGTACATAGTCAGAGCGTTTTTCTTTTTCAGACCGGTAGCATTAGTGCTAGTATGGTATCCTTCTTATTCGTAGATTGCTATTACTACATATTGTTGAGTACTATCTTTCGCTTCAGTTTTCTTAATATCTTACTGTTGTTACTACTTGTTGCGATTTAGAAAAAGCTAACGATAAAGTCCTGGGGGAGGTTCTGTGGAGATGTTTGGAGGCTAGAGGGGTACTTGTGGCCTATATTAGGGTGATTAAAGACATGTACGAGGGAGCGAAGATCTGTGTGAGGACAGTGCGAGGGGTCTCGGACCATTTTCCAGTCATGATGGGGTTGCATCAGGGGTCGGTACTCAGCCCTTTTTTATTTGCCCTGGCGATGGACGTACTAACTCGCCACATCCAAAAGGGAGGTGCTGTGGTGCATGTTATTTGCAGACGACATTGTTTTGATTGACGAGACGCGAGACAGTGTTAACACGAGGTTAGAGGTGTGGAGACAGACCCTCGAGTCTAAAGGTTTCAAGTTGAGCAGAACCAAGACATAATACTTGGAGTGTAAGTTTAGTGGTGATACTCAGGGAGTGGAAGGGGAGGTGAGGTTGGAATCACAAGTCATCCCTGGGAGGGGGAGTTTTAAGTACCTTGGGTCTATTATATAGGGGATGGGGAGATTGATGAAGATGTCACACATCGTATTGGGGGGGGGTGGGGTGGTGAGGGGGGGTGGATGAAATGGAGACTTGCTTCCGGTGTTTTGTGTGACAAGAAGGTACTACCAAAATGTAAAGGTATGTTTTATAGAGCAGTGGTCCAGTGTTATCAAAGGCGCGCTTAAAGCGCATTTAAGCCCTGAAACGAGGCTCAAAACATGTTGAGCGCTTTGCCTTGCTTAGCGGGCTCTTCAGTGTTGTCATCAAGACTCTAAGACATACTTTGCTTACCAATGAGCGTAATCCTAAAGATGCGACACTAAACAATTGATATTTTACTTTATCGTAAATTTTCTTCAATTTCTTTGTCCATATATTTGGTATTCGTGCTTATAGATATTAGTCTTGGACTACACATATATATTTGTAGTTATTCTCCATTTCCGCCTTTTTTCATTGAAGCCCACACTTTATTTGCGCTTTGGGCTTAAAGCCCCACCAGACCTTAGAGTTCTTTTGCGCTTTTTGCCTTTGATAACATTGCGGTGGTCAGACGGCTATGTTGTATGGAGCTGAGTGTTGACCAGTCAAGAGCTCTCACGTCCAGAAGATGAAGGTAGAGAGATGAGGATGTTGAGATGGATGTGCGGGCACACCAGATTAGATAGGATTCAGAATGAAGTTATTCTGGACAAGGTGGGTGTGGCCACTATTGAGGACAGGATGCGGGAAGCACAACTTAGATGGTTTGGACATGTGAGGAGGAGAAGCACAGGCGCTCCAATAAGGAAATGTGAGAGGTTGACATTGTAGGGCCTTAGGAGAGGTAGAAGTAGGCCGAAGAAGAGTTGGGGTGAAGTGATTAGGCATGACATGGCGCAGCTACAGCTGACCGAGGACATGATCTGTGATAGGAAGGTGTGGAGGTCGAAGATTAGGATAGTAGGTTAAGTAGTCTAGATTATTCATACCGGTAGGTGTTAGTACGTGCTCTTGTATTTGGTTGGTAGTAGGCTTATTTGAATACCTTTTTTTTTACACTATCTTGTTGTGTATGCTGCTTTTACATAGTTTTTCAGTGTTGTCCCGTCTTGTTTCTTGTTATTATTGTGGTACCTATGCTTGCCTGAGCGGAGGGTCTATTGGAAACAGCCTCTCTACCTTCACGAAGGTAGGGGTAAGGTCTGCGTACACACTACCCTCCCAGACCCCACTATGTGGGATTATATTGGGTATGTTGTTGCTGTTGTTGTTACTACTTGTTTCCATTGCTTCTTTTCATCTTCTCTTTATCTTCTTTTTAGCCGATGGTCTATCGGAAACAACCTCTCTGCCCTCCCAAGGTAGGGGTAAGGCCTTTGTACGCACTACCCTGTCCCGATCTCACTTGTGGGAATCCACTGGGTTTGTTGTAGTAGTAGTGGTAGCTCACTCATGCATCTGTCTAGCTATCACTAATTCTCCCGTCGCTAACGAGGAGTAGATCACTAATTCTCCTGTCGCTAACGAGGAGTAGAAGAAAACTGAAACATATATGTTGGGTAAGAAAAACATATGTTTTCCAAATTGACTTATTAAGTTTATTTTATAAAGCAATCAAAGTCTGTTCCCTTAATTTTGTCTTGCATACTGCATAATGTTTCAGTAATTTGTTTTTTCTTTTTTCCATCTCAGATTCTTTACATTGCACTTTTTCATCTGGATGTCTAAGATGGTTGCATTTTGCATCTTAATTTCTTCTCTCAAATTGCAATTAAATTACAGTTAACTTTGTCAGAAATACTATAAAAGTTGAAAGAGAAAAATAAAACTGCTTGAGAATGTAGAGTTTCAAGTAATTTTTTTTGCATTAATATGGATGTTTTTCCTTCCAAAGTTTGTTGTAATGTGACCATTGCTTTAATTGTTTCTTATACCAAGAAACTAACAACTAATGTTCACCGGACATTAGTATTTGTTTTGATGACTATCATGTTTTATAATCTCATTGTTCTTCTGGATTTTTTATATGGTTTTAGCTTTTTGAAAGATGACATCAGTGAATATGGGCATTGGGTGTTTGGGTGAGATATGTTGAAGTGGGTTAGTGGTGGATCCCGTCCATTATTAGGCTGAACTAGTGTTGGCTTGTAAAATATTCATTAGGTTGCAGTTAGACCAAAAAAAGCATTACGTTGTGTTGAACCATTCTGTGAAGCTCATTTTGAGTCTGCACGTAATACGTATCTGTGAAAACCCATACATTTGCCTCCTGCACTGCAAAATCCATTTAAGTGTTTATCTGTTCTATCACTTGCTTCTTATCCATTATATTGTTGCAACCTTGTTCTCCCTCCGGTCCAAAATAAGTGATTTTTTGGCCTTCTTTTTGTGGTCCAAAATAAGTGATTTTTTCATATTTCAAGAATGAATTAATTATTTTTTCCTACATTGCCCTTGGAGTAAATAGTGTTGGAGTATGTGTTAGGAGTGTTTATGTGAAGAGATAGTAAAGGTTAACATGGTCAATTTCATTACTAATTAATGTTAAAAGGTATATTTCTTAATCCGTGTGAAAACATCTAAAAAAATCACTTATTTTGGACCGGAAGGAGTAATAATCAACAAAATAAGCATGCAATAAAATCATAGCAAGTCCATTAGATAAAGTTTCACGATCGATGAATGTATATATGTTGATTTAATCTTCTTCTTCCCTTTTAACCTTCACTCGAGAATCTCTGGGTCTGATCATAGAGGATGTGACGGTCTTCACATAGACTCCAATACTCTCAATCCGACTACCAATTTTGGTGCCGTGAAATCCACCAAAAGAACGATCATCGCCTATTTCAAACTTGAACTCTCTGACAACGCTTCCTGATGGATTCATCCTAATGCTGCCATATGGTCCATAGGAACCTTTGTTGGTGCCAAATATTATTGATCTCAAATTAGTTGATGCATACCTTGGTCCATAGGAACGTTTGTTGGTGCCAAATATTATTGATCTCAAATTAGTTGATGAATACCTTATGGTATTCAAATAAGTTGTTTCGCAGGAGCCTTCTATCCAAGTAAGATATTCCGATGGATAATCCAAGACAACCTTCAGTAATCGAAATACGGACGCTGCAAATTCATTAGTGATCCTATTTACAAATTGCATAGACTTAAATCGTAAATGTGTCTCCGATTAATGTGTTCTTGATTTATAGCTTGTTTAACCAAGCCTCTCCAAGCCAAAAGCACTTCTTATTTAAAAATAAAAAATAAAAAAAAAAAGACTTTTTTCAAAGTTAAAATGTTTGGCCAAGCTTCTAGAGGAAAAAAGTGCTTTTGAGTAGAAGCTGAAAAAAATAATTCTCTCCAAAAGCACTTTTTTGAAAAGCATTTCTTTTGGGCAAAAATACACTTGGTCAAACATTAATTATTGCTCAGAATTATTTTTCAAATAAATTAACCAAATACAATCACTTTTGAAAAAAATCACTTCTCAAAATAAGCTGATTTTTGCATCTTGGCCAAACAGGCTATTAGTTTGTTTGATTAACATCTACCAAGTTCTTCCATTTGAAGAGGGAGGAAAAAAAATGTTCTCTTACCGTAGTGAAGTTTTCGTTGTGTGCAGTACCATATCTATCAGACAAAACAAAGTTGTCATTCTCAACGAACAAGAATTGAAGAACTTTTAACTTCAACATTGGTATTGGTCTTTTAATATAGAAAAATAAGAATCTGACTTTTCGTTTAACTCAATCTTATCTAGCCAGCTTTTATTGTGCTATGCTATTGGAAGAATTAAAAAAACAATACAGAAACAGAGAAACACTGAACTTTTTCTTAAAACCTCTCGTCTTCTTCTCACATCGAACAATGGTACAAATTGAAATCTTGATATCAACAATTCCTACTACGTTAAAATATACTATATCAAAATCAAAGTTTAAAATTTGAAAAGTGTAACCAACATAAAGAAGCTGAGCACAAACTACGATTTTTTATTCCATAGGAAATTACAAACATCAATAATAAAAGTTCCTTTTCATACATTTGATTCATAGAATTCACAAAGTACCGATTGTTGCCAAATGGCAGCTCGGTGTACAATTCATCTCGCGTTCACGAAGGGTCCGGAAAAGAACCATACCCCAAGATGTAGACAGCCTACTCTAATGCAATCATAGGTCACACGGAGACAATTTTACCCTTGCTCGACGGCTCGCTTTCAACAACTGATTGTTACCCTTTCATTAAATTTTGTTTCCACCATAACTCCTTTGCCTTCGCTGAAAAGAACGCAAAGCAGCTACAAAATCAGCTTCATCCAATTCAGGAAACAACTTATCCACAAAGCAGAATTCACTATAAGCCAATTGCCACAACATGTAATTGCTAATTCTCAGCTCTCCACTAGTTCTGATGAGTAAATCAGGATTAGGATATTCCAAATACTTCGTCTCTAATTCTTGGTCGATTAATTTGTCATTGATTTCCTCTAGTTGAATAACTCCATCCTTAACTTTGGTAGCAATCTTTTTAGTTGCTTGTGTTATGTCATATCTTCCACCATAGTTAAGTGCAGCCACAAAATGAAGTCCTGTGTTGTCCTTTGTGGTTTCTTCAGCTATGTTTATTGCTTCTTTCAGAGAATTGGGAAGGTTGGACTTATCACCAATAATGGACATTTTCATCCCGTACCTAAAAACATTAAAATAAGTACAAAGTGCAATACCTCTGAAAATTTTGTAAAGGGAAACAAGTGAATATAATAAGAAAGTAGTAAAAGAATTGTAAATTCAGGACCATTGCAATAATGAGTAAGGTGAGGCAGGGCGAAGAAGTATTGAGTAGAGGTGATTAGATAAGATATGGCGTTGCTCCAGCTCACTGAGGACATGACCATAAATAGGAAGGTGCGGAGGTTGAGAATAAAGGTAAAGGGTTAGATGGTCGAATGTTGTCCCTGTTTGTAGCAGTAGCTTTGACATACGACTTGGTGCCTTCCATGTTTTTTTTTCGTACCTCTGGTTTTCTGTTACTACTTGTTGTTGTCTTGTGTTTCGGTTTTCTGATTGCATTACCTTTTGCTAGTTTTGCATTTTTGCTTTGGTTGTCAGATCGGTTTGCTTGTTATTGCCCCTTCGACCACTCCGTTTCTGAACCAAGGGTCTTCCGAAAATAACCCCTCAGCCTTATCAAAGGCAGCGGAAAAGGCAGGGTAAGGTCTGTGTACACTCTACTCTCCCCAGTCCCCATTTGTGGCACAATACTGGGTATGTTAGTGTTGTTGTTGCAATAATGAATAAAATAATTAAAACAAAAACCCATATACAAGAAGATTTTAATAGTTGATTTTCAGTTAAAAGTAGTACCTCATGAAGTCGTGAATAAGCCCTTCAAAATAGCTCGTCATCAAGAAAGTTACCTCTGCCTGCCCAGTATATAATTGCAGAAATGTGTGAAAAAATCTGAAATTTTGAATGCACTTTGACAAATTTATCTTAAATTCCATTAACCTATAAGGGCTTATGGTGAAATTTTTTGTGTAAATATTACTTAAAATATTTTTTGAAACAGTTCATGTTTATCAATGTCTGCAGATTGCAGCTTGTTCATATACTTCAAATACAAAAAATAATTATCACGGAATAAGAAAATGTAATTGGACAATCATATCTAATCAAACCAAATTAAATAAGCCTTAAATTGGAATTCTTTATCAGTGAAAATTTTGCACCAATAATATGAGTTGATTAACTATCTGAATTTTTACATGATTCACTCCCAATTAATTCTCACATTGTAATTTCCTCTTCCCTAGTTCTCTTCGCCAATGTATAATTAAAAAATTAAAAAGAAAAATTAACTAAATACTCGTACTTACCTTGGGCCTTGACCAATTCTCAGTAGAAAAAGCATAAGCAGAAAGAACTTTGACTCCCCATTTCGAACAATAACGGCACAAATCTCCGAGCACTTTTTTCCCAGCTTCATGACCTTTTTCCGGCGACAAACCTCTCTCCTTAGCCCATCTCCGATTACCGTCCGGTATAATTGCCACGTGTTTCGGCATCAGCTCCGGCTGCAATCCTTCTCTCAATAGCTCCTCTTTTGATACTACTCCAAATGGAAGCTTACAAAATTGGCGTCGAAACATTAATATGGTATTAGATAAGGGCATTATTGGGTTTTTAAGTAAAGACGGAGATTCGATGTCTCCGGTGACCCGGAGAAGGTAGGTAGCGGCGGAGCTGCGGTGGAAGAGTGGTGGTTTTGGATCGGAGATATTTGGGCAGTAAGGAACACATGCTGCTGCAATGTATTTTGGTTTTTCTTTTTGGAAATATTCAAACTAAAATGTTGTAAGCTATATATGTATCTTATTAATTATAGCAGCTTGCCTCATTAAAAATATTTTTGTGCAAGCAATTAGGCCAATTTTGTTACGAAACTTAGCTCAAAGTAACAATATAGAACAATAAAATAGACAACAATGTAGAGAGGAAGAGAGGAGAGAATCTTATTTCTTCTATGTATTCAAGTGTATACAATGTGATGCCAAAACCCTCTATTTATAGGATTACATAGAGGCATACAAAAGAATGCCATAAACATGACATTAAACATTTGAGATCATGGAGGAAGATCATGGGGAGGTTATGGAGGTGTGGGAGTTACAACTATAATGGTGAGAAGTAGTGGGAGTTATCTACATAATGGAGAAGAGTAGTGGGAGTAACTTCTTTAGGAGTTATAGACATCCACTACAAAATAATACTTCAAAACACTCCCCCTTGGATGTCTATAGATAATATGCCTCGTTAAAATCTTACTAAGAAAAAATCCTGTGGGAAAAAATCTTAGTGAAGGAAAAAGAGTACACATATCTTGTAATACGCATTATTTGCTGCCTCATTAAAAACCTTGCCAGAAAAACCCAGTGGGATAAAATCTTAGCGAAGGAAAAAAGAGTACAGCGCGTATTTGCCTCCCCCTGATGAAAACATCACTTTATTCTTCGGAGACGACGAATTCCAAGCTTGTATAACAACTTCTCTAATATTGAGATCCGCAATGTCTTGTGAAGAAGTTTGTCAAATTATCACTTGAACAAATTTGTTGAAGAACTTTGGTGAATGTGCTTTATTTTGTCTCCTTCGATAGTCCTTCTTTCAATTGATATAAGCAAACAACATTATCTTCAGTATTATTGGAATCTTCTCTTCAAAGTCAAGTCACACGTCTGTTGTGTGTTGAGCCCCTTGCTTTATCAGTTGCTTATCTTGGCATGACTTGAATAAATATCAACAATTAACTGCCTTGTAATATGATAATATGGCAGTACTCTCACATGCAAATAGAATGTTTAAAGAACGAACTTCAGAAAATGCCTGCATTTGCATAACCAACAAAATCTTGGCGATATTTGTTAGAATAAACAAATCTAAATCAAGTATTCCTTTTGAAATATAATACCAATTGTATTCCAATATCTCCACATTGAAATAAAACTATATCTTGCTAGCATATTGTTATACTCATGGTTCTAGCCAGATATATTAGTGCACCAATTGCACTAGACACAAAAATAAATCATGTACGCCATGATCGCTCTAATCTACATAAGGATCTGCCGAAGATTTACTTAATAAATTTCTTGGGAACCTTAATATGCTTCAGAACAATTTAAATCATTCAAGGATTTTCATTATATGCATATCAAATGTATTGTCAGACCCCCCACAGGAGAACATGTCTCCTAATACCAGGATATTTACAAAAATTTTGTGCCACAAGTCGTCTTTATGTCTATCGACTTGATTTTTCATTTCACTTTCAGGTGTGGGGACTATCCGTCCAACTTCACATTTTTCAGGTGAAGTGAATTTCATTGCATATTTTTTTCATTAGCAATCATTTATTGTCCAAATATCCATGATAGATTTTTAGCTCAAGATCCTCGTCAATATTAATAATATTGGAGCGCTACATTTATTAAACAACATCGTCAACGATCATTTTACATCTGGTTTCCATCATCGCGCACAATAAAGACATATACGTATCGAGATCTCATTCTTTTCAGGTACCTGAGCCTCTCCCCATGAGGTCTTTATAAAGTTGTTTAGTCATGGGTGCTCTATAAAAGCACTTGCCTCCGTTATTATGACATCTTGAATTTGCTCATCCTTCTTCCAAGGAGTTTATGTTGGAACCGGATTAGTCTATTACGCTTCATGCGTGTCATAAATCGTTCCATTCATGACTTTATCTTATTTTGGTGCATTAACAGCTGAAATATGACATTTAGCTTTGGGGTCAGCAAATGCTCCCTGCAATAATTTTGGAATGAAATTATCACTTGAAACTTCAAGTTCACATAAGTTCACATTTCTTGTACGAGGATCTAGATGTATTATAATAATTCATTCACGTATCATTGTTTCAGTCTGCCCTTTTCTCCGCTAAGGTTAGGATACACAACACATTTTTTCAACTTATTTGGGAACCCATCTTTGGTGCATTGTGGCACCACACATTAAATCACTATTAGCACATCCATATTTCTAGATGGGATATTTGGTTCTGACCGTGATACCATTGTGATGGGAGAATTTATAGATAACTTATGTGCTAATGCATACAAGTGGTTGTTGTATATTAAATTATATACTCATACAAATTTCTAATTGTTGAATTTTGCTTCTCATAACCAATGGTTTAGCTATAATTGGAGGCAATACAATTTCTCTAAACAACTTGGATTTAAACCAGCATAATCAAGAGTAAATTATCATATATATATTTCTGACCTGTGCTCTAATAAATTTGAGCAAACAACTTTCAAAAACCAAAGTGCAAGTTGATAACAAACGCACATGTGACCATATTAAATAGATGCAATCTATTAAAATCATATAATAGTAAATGGTCCACATGGCGGGTGATTGGGCCCATACATATATATCACCTTTTATTCGTTCCAGATATTCAAGGGATTCAATCCAACCTTAACATTGGTATATCATGAGAAAAAAACATCACAAAGAGAATTCTTAAAGAATCTTCTATTTCTTTAATATATGCCAATGTGAATTTCTCAATCAATTTCACATCATAATTAAACCGGGGATGGTCAACCGGTCATGCCAACTAATATTTGTTTCAAATAAACCTCTTAGTTTACTTATGGCATGTGATTCTATCATCCATGCTTATACATCTATGTTAGGTACAAATAGAAGAAAAGTCGGGTACCTTTCATATTTACCCAGGTATGTTATAGTAATATGAAGATAATCCAATCTTCCTTTCATTTATAGTCTCAATATGCCAACCACTTTGGCTAATATATTTGAAACTCAAAAAGTTTCTTTTGAGACTTACTACAATTTTATTCATCCGGGTAGTAACAAATTAGCTCTTCCGGAGCTCTTAATTGATTTTGTACTACAAGATCTTTTGTCACACCATCCATATGGTGAATGTCTCCTTCACGGAGAAAATCATATAATAATAATTGTCATGGTCAAAATCATCATAAGCAAAATCATTTCTTGCTTTACTTTTGCCTTTAATAACTTTTTATAAGACATGCCAAATTATTTTTGATGTACCACATGTACGCGACCAATGATATATTCATGTAATCACACAGTAATATTTATTATCTCTCTTTGTCTCAAACCTCCCTTAGAGGTGAGTTGTGGTATGTATCCAATCATGCATTGCACGTCTTTATTCATTACTTTTATCACATATTGTTACATTCACCTTCAGGAATGAATCTGCATTCTCAATGCACAAGTCACATTCTCTTCAAAGAATGGAGTATAATTATCGCGACGTGCTTTATAAATTTTTCATACCAATTTGATGGTAAATATTTCCTTCACCTATTGAAGGATTACTTCGAGAACCCTTATTGTTCTCATTTTTTACAATACCATAATGATGACTATTATTATTTGATCAATGGCACGCCCATGTTCATTGGTCAACCACTTGTCTTCATTTACTTATTATGCATTGCTACCACATTCACTTTAAGAATGGTGCAAATCAAGTGGGACAAGATTCATGCTTTTCCATGAAAAATATATTATTTTTCTTTAGTCATCGCTATGTCATCCATATGGTGCATTGGAGCTCAAACCCAATGCCTGACCCATATAAAAACATGTTAGGCCATAATGAGTTGGGACTCGAACCCAACTTTTACAATCATGGATCATCAGGACTTAAAACTCGATGTCTTACCCTCATGGTGCGTTGGGACTTGAACCCACCGTCTTATCCTTATATAATGTTTATCACAAATGGTCTGATTCACATCAGGGAATGGAATATAATTTTATGTAGCCACATAGTAAAATCTATCATAAAAAATAAGCTAAATGGAAATGATAAGAACTATTATCAATAAAAATATGATAAAGTACAAACTCGTGTGCTAGTATCCTACATATAAATATGTCAATAAGAGAATCACCATGTAGCGTTATTACTATGTGATGTATTACTGCATACTAATGCATGATTTAATAAAATGCACACAAGAATTGAAACACATAACTAAATATACTTAACTTTAAAAAACAAATAATCTTAAGTAATAACTATTGCTAGCATATTCTGTTTTAATACAGATGATGTCAAAATAGGCTAGTAAAACATAATGATATCACTTTGTCAATTATCAACATAAAAATGTTGCACCTAATTAGATTAGGCCATTGATCTTAAAAGTCCTCGTTAATACACAACATGACCAGAATGCTTTTTAATGTTTCACAAAGATCTTTAAATATCATGGAAAATCAATGATAGCATGATGTTATAATTGTATAAGATCAATTTTAGAACTAGGAACAAAGTTAGTGGACATATACAGCCATACGAGCATGAAAACTTAAAATCAAAGCTCAGTTTTTTCTAAACAAAGCAACTACAAATCGTAAATTTTAACATAAGCTAAATACACAATTTATGGTATAATTTGAAAAATAATACTCCCTGGATAATAGAGGCAAACTAAACATTATATGGCATTCGTAATAATGCCCATATTTCCATTGGTTCAACCAAACTGGTTCAAGGTTGTCAACCATTCATATCTTCTAGGTTGATTAAAGCTTCGTGCTGATAACGTGTTACGAAACTTAGCTCAAAGTAACAATATAGAACAATAAAATAGACAACAATGTAGAGAGGAAGAGAGGAAAGAATCTTATTTCTTCATGGTATTCAAGTGTATACAATATGATGCCAAAACCCTCTATTTATAGGATTACATAGAGGCATACAAAAGAATGCCATAAACATGACATTAAACATTTGAGATCATGGAGGAAGATCATGGGGAGGTTATG